ACACAAAATAATTTTATTACAGCAAAGTTTCGCCAAACGGGCTTCAAGTTAGTGTCACAGGTCTAATGCCGCAGGTTGAAATTATTTGCATTTTCGTCTGCAAAGGGATTAAGAGCTATTACATACAGTAATAAATCCTACAACCATTCAAATCTGTTGAATAACAATATGAAAAATGTTCAGCATTTCCGCACCATACCGTACTGGTCGGCGTCGGGAGCAAAGTGACACGTGGAGAAAGAGTGATGCTGAAAACTACTCATGTTAAACAAATGCTATGAGAGATGCATCAACCTGCGGCTACAGTCCATGTATATGGACTGGTTTACGGTCCATGTATATGGGCTGGTTTACGGTCCATGCATATGGGCTGGTTTACGGTCCATGTATATGGACTGGTTTACGGTGCATGTATATGGACTGGTTTACGGTCCATGTATATGGGCTGGTTTACGGTCCATGTATATGGGCTGGTTTACGGTCCATGTATATGGGGTTGGTTTACGGTGCATGTATATGGGCTGGTTTACGGTCCATGTATATGGGCTGGTTTACGGTCCATGTATATAGGCTGGTTTTAAGAATGTGTACAGAACTTGGTAAGCTTGAACGAGCTGATTTTTGTAAGGATTGGTGAATAAAATCAAGCTATCTTCGACCAATAATTCATGCTGCAATTTGTATTTGAATATTCGGAGTCAATTCCGTAGATTTATTCGAGCGCGGGCATGTTAATCGAATTTTAGTAGTAAATCCCGTAGACTTTAATTAAATGCTAGCAGCTAAAAGTTAATTAGATTCATGTATTTTATTGTCAAAGAATGCAACCATTTCCAACAAATATCATCAAGTTAAAAAGTACAAGGATATATGTGTTCCTTGGAGCGACTGGTTCTCACAGGGTGTTCAGATTGTGTTGAACTTGTATATTTCATTGATTGGTTTTGAAGGAGAATAATGATTCGTGGTGAACTGCCACGGTCCAAGGCTGGGCTGGATTTTTACAGGTAGCCGGGAGCTGCCACTAAAGTGAGAGTCTTTGTGAAGCTTCGCGAGTCTCGCCTCGCATCGCAGAAGATATTCTTCGGTAATTAGCCTTAAATTCTGCGCGGTATTACATATATTACGGTCTACTTTCTTTCACTGTTTCGCAATAGTGATGCTTACAGTCGGTCTTATGATATACTTCAAAATTGATCGGGTATTCGCCAGCTTCGATAAATGAGTACTTCAGTCGGTCTTCTTAATGTATTTCAAAATATATCGGGCATTTCGCCGACCTTGATAAATGAGTAATTTCGTTTGGCCTTACCAACATATTACAAGATGTATGGGTTATTAAGCCAGCCTCAATGTATCTCGGTCCATATTTTAAGCGTATTCCGTGATGTTTCGGATATTTTGATGGCTTCCATTTATTTCAGTCAGTCTTCGCAATGAATAACCTGACGGCTAACGTATTTCGCAAGCCACGGTGCCTTTCAACCGATCTTCTTGATATATTTCGGGATGCCTTGAGTATTGCGCCTGCATCGCTGTATGCCGATCTGTCTCCGTAACATATTTCTCGGTGTATCGAATATTTCACCGGATAGATGTATTTCGGGTTGTCTTCCTACTGAATTCCTTGATATTCTTGACATTTTGCCAGCCTCGACGTATTTTTATCAGTTTCACAATATATTCTACCTGGTATATCGGAGATCTTGCTAGACTTGATATATTTTGGTAGTTTTTCTTGATGTATTTCTTAGTAAATGAAATATTTTACTGCTATTGAAGATTTTGGTAGCTATTTTTAATGAATTTCTTGACGTATCGGGCATGGGGCATTTCGGTTCTTCGCCAGGTGTCGGTGTTGGGTTTTCCATCATTCTCGATCGATTTTCGTTATGGATTGCTTGATGAACCGCGTTTTATAATGTCTTCGCTACATTTCGGTCAATCCTCCAAATATGCTACTTGATGTATAGCGTATTAGAGCGTATTTCGTTTTCCTAATGCGTATTTCTTCTTCCTCGATGTATTTCATTCGGTCCTCCTAATATGCTTCTTGATGTATGGCGTATTTCGCCATCCGCTATGTATTTCGGTCGGTCCATCTTTAGTCGGTTTTATCGACGTATTTCTCGATGTATCGCGTTTTTTGCCACCCTGGATGCATTTCGGTCGGTCTACGTAGCACGGTGGGCCTCCTAATGCACTACCTGATGTATGGGCTCGGCAGGAGCCCGCGCCGCAGTTCTCGGCTCTGCCGTGGCGTTGCCGCCCAATCCTATCAGCCGATGATTGATGGCAAGAAAGCGGCGAGAAATTGCCACTTCCTCGTGTCCTTACCAACATTTTTACTGTGAACTTTAGCTCAATGAAATCAAGGAAAATTTTACAAAATGTTTAATAGGTTTAGAGTTAATGAAAACTCAGGTTTATTTGCGGCATTTTATTCTAAAGTTTTGCGAACAGTGCAGCCGAGTAAAATTTTACGAAATGTTAGTGAGTTTAACAGTGTATAAAAAGCCGGCTTTATTCGGTAAAAGATAAGTTTTTTTCCAATGGGTTATTACATTGCTGCATGAAAAAGGCAGCAATTCATTTAATTTGGTTCTTTAATATGATGATCCATTTAGTATAATTATGGTGCAACCGAGTAAAATGCTGCAATATTTCAGTGAATATCACAAAATATTAAAATCCAAGATATTTCTATTATATTAGTCCGTATTTGTAAATCAATGCAGTCAAGAAGAAGGGCGAAAATGTTCCTAATAATATCAGTTCAATAATTCAAGTTCATATTTCTAAGTAAATCACTTCTTCAACACAAAATATCATTCAGTATTCAGTATATTAAATTTTGTTAGTTCAGCAAATTGATCCCATGAAATAACAATTTTTATAGGTTCTCAAAAGAAGTGAAAAGAAAATATTTCAGTTTTGGTTCCATCAAGTCTAAAAAAATTTTTGTCATTTAAATTTTTTGCATCTATGAGATTATGACTGCAGTTATGCCAAGAACACAATATGTATGAACGAACCTACTTTCTTTTAATCCCAATTTTTGACTCTTCAATGGAGCATACCAGCACAGCTGAATGCTTTAGCACACAACATTTAAATTATTAAAGAAAATCATTTTAAAAATCAAATTTAAATTATTGAAAAAAATTTAATTTTTGAATTACTGAAGAAGAAAATCATATTTAAAATCAATTTTAAATTATTGAATAAAATCATATATAAATTATTAGAGAAGAAAATCATCTTTGAAATAATATCTAAATTATTGAAGAAGATATTTTCCATTATAAAAATGGACATATGAGTGCTGACATATAAAATTATAAATCTGTATTATTACTTTATATTATTTTAATTAAGGCTTACTTATTTACGAGTATTATTTGCCTCGAAGTTATTATAAATTGTTTTTAATAATAAGCAATTAGGTTCATTACATAATTTCTTATTAATTGCTTATTAATAATGAATGAGAATTTTCCAGAGAAACAGAAATAACTTCTAGAAAATTTTTGAGTTCGGAATAAGCGCAATTTAAATCTAGAACGCAGGATTAATTAAAAAATTAAGGAGTAAAATTTACAATTAAAATACCAACAGAATCTAATTCTAATACACGAACTCGAGCTAGAAAAGACTTATATTCTCAATAAGAAAATATTGGTCATAATCCAGTGATGTGGTTGAAGAAGGATCAGAACAATGAAAAAATGATACAGTGCATTAAATACTTTTCACATCCGTTCAAAAGTACCAACCAATTTTGAATCATTGGAGAATTTTTCATACCACTATCACATTCAAACAATACAATTGAGTAGGGTAACATAGGGCAGCGAGCCCACTGCGGGTCACGGGCCCATAGCGGGTTTTTCGCTAAGTATGGCAGATATTGGTCCGTGTTCTCTACCGCCGGTCGACAGTTTCACTGGGATGAAGTGTACGGATTTTCATTTTGCTAAGTGTTTGCATTATTAAGTTATTTGTGGATAACTGTTTCAGCCCAGATAAAGGTTTTTTTTGCTGCTAAATAAAACTTATCGATTACTGTAGATGAAGCTTTTGAAATTACTGTGAATTATATTTTGAAAGTAATATCTATAAGGCTAATTTTGAGATCAAGTTTAGACTATTAGCTTTTAAAATAAAATGTTGACACGATATAAATTGAACTGATACCTAGTGGGGGCAACGGGCCCACACGTGTCACGGGGCAAAGCGCCCATGGGGAAGTCTTGTGTTATACATCATTGGATTTGTCTCAGTGACCTTTTCAAAACTATGACTAGCTTTTGAATTACCAATCACTCTTCATATTGCATGATTTTTCGATTTGCCGCCTCAAGGCAGCAGGTTTAGTTTCTAGTTATGCGTATTTATGACCCCTTATCGAGTTATTGACTCTTGCCTTGCCAAAAGTTGATTTCAGTCAACACCAATGAGCCAAAAGTTTATGAGAGTTTTTATGGTGTTGGCTGAAATCACGATTAGGTACGAATTCTCTGCACATAATATCTGGATTATGGACGAAACTGGAACGAAGTTTTTTTCTGATCAACTAAATATATTTTTTCTAGTCAAGAATACATTTTTTTCATGTCAAGGACGAATTTTTTATCACAAGGATATATTATTCAAGTCAAGGATATATATTTTTATGTCACTGAAATATTTTTCTTCACGTCAGTGATAGGTTTTTTAAGCCAAGAGTATATTTTTTTCAAGTTAAGGATATGATTTTTTGAGTTGTTAATAAATGAATGAATGTCCTATTTTTTATTGCATTTTTCTTATTTTTAACTGTAAAGTGTTGTTTTATCATTTTTAAACGAAAAATATGCAATTGTGGTGAAGGGACCAAGGGTGGGCGCCTTGCCCCAAGCCCATGGGCCCATTGCCCCAGGGGTGGGGCAATGGGCCCATTTTGACACTTTTTACAAAGGGCGGACACGCTGCTACGTGGTGCAGGGTGAGTACTGGGGGCCGTATTGTGGGGGCGGACACGGTGCTACGTGGTGCAGGGTGAGTACTGGAGGTTTAATTTATTGAAAAGGTTTTTAACTGAATTGAAACGTTTAAAAATTAATTAAAAAACGGAGGTAAAATTGGAAAAAAATTTCCTGCTGAGAATTTGATGAAATTCTGTGTGGTTGTTTTCCTAATCATTAAAAGTTTCAAAATTTATTTAAATTCTTTTAGTTGTTATATTAATTTATAATTTAGATACTAATTATTCAATACATTTTTTATTACTTAACTTAATCAAATATTTTTTCATTATCATTGATACTGTTAAAAATTTGTGAAATTCTGTATGGTTATTATTTTAATTTATAATTTAGATACTAATTGTTTATCAGATTTTTTATTATATAATCAATTATTTTTTTCATTATCATTGAAACTCTGAAATTTTATGATATTCTGTGCGGTTATTATATTAATTTTTAATTGAGATCCTAATTGTACATCACATTATTACTACTTAAAATACAAATTTTTTTTCTCTTAATTAAATGTTTGATTTCATTAACTTATAAATTAATTTGTGGTTGTATTAACAAATTTATTAATTGCAGTTTGTAGTTATCGATTATTACCAAACTGCAAAGAAGTTAGGAACTAACACTATAAGTAGCGATCATCAATGGCCTTTTTTTGAATTATTTTTCTACCATTTTTTTATCAACCAATACTTCATTGGCCGTCAACCAATAATTGTTTTTAGAGTCCAATGAAAGAATGAGAATCACAATCAAAAGATAGACCTTTTTTTTGCTGCACTCAAAAAATAAATGAGTATTATTGTCCAAAAAGTGAAATACTTTTTGTTCCTAGCCTTGGCACGCCCGCTTCTCGGACCAAAATGGTCTCGATGAACCCACACAGGCAAAATGTACGTCGCTATTTGTACAAAGATACATTGATTACTTTGAGTGTGTAGTCTGATAAAGCTTTTATTGACTCATAATTGACAAAATAAACGATCTGCCGTGCAATTAATTAATTAAATTATCTAAAAAAAATGTTAAAATTAAATCGAATTGTTGTGGTGCTGTAAAAAATATCGGTGTAAGGGCCACTTTTGTTCCATTTTAATATTAAAAAAATGTAGTCAGGAGTCTGTGCACGAATTTTTTTTTTCAAGCTTGTTAAAGAATATTTTTTGTGAAATTAATTTGTTAAAAAGTTATCACTAGGAAATCCAATAAATAAATGAACTGATAAACATAAAATTTCATCACAATTAAATATTATTACTACTGTTCAATATAAATATAAATTATATTTTCTAATTAACTATATTTTTTTTATTATGCGATATGAGCCCAAAATTATAACATTTAATTGTGTCAAAAATGACCTAATTTTGAATGATTTATACGTCTGCATTTGTACTTGTTGAGTACATCTCTCACGCTAAATTTTTCTGCCACTCATCATGCTTTTTTACAAGCTTTTTTTCAGAACACCAAACGCGCTCTGACGAGCCTTGATTAAACACAATATTTTCGTAACACTAGAACATTTTTTCCGCTCCTTTCATCATCCGCAACAAAATTTCCTGGGCTTCCATTTTATCGATAAAATCTTTGTTTTTCATTCAAAATGGCCGTGTTTTCAAAAGCTGGACAGTTTAGCCCCGCAATAGAACGAGGCTCTCCCGCCCAAGTGTCCATATTTTTCCCCGTGTCTTTATTTTTTCCCCGTGACCTACAGTACAAAGTTTCAGGGTAAAACTCACAGAGTTTCGGGGTAAAACACGCAGAGTTTTGACGGCGTGTCAGTGTTTACTGGCTATGGCCTAGGGTATTTTTTTCGTGGGTCTCTCTACACTCAGATAAACAAATGGGTTATATTGTCTAAATAGTGACACAATTCCCAACCCACAGCACGAGAAAAGAGCGGACGTAGCACTGATGCGCCCCTTCTACCCAGGTTAACTCGGTCAGGTTGACCCACACGTAGTCGATAAGTGTGTTGCTATTTGGACAAAGTCTCACTCATTTCTTTGAGTTTATTCAGCTTATTCGGTCAAAACGTCGGGGAAAAACCATAAAGCTTCCCTAATTTTTTGGCAGTGGAGAAAGAATGTTGAGGGACAACATTTTTAATGTTTTTTATTGCAAACTTTGTGCTCAAGAAACGCGATTCTTGGCTATTAATGTTATTGCAACGAATAAAATTGTTGATACTGTGCTTTTGAAAGAAAATTTAATGAATGCCTCAACAAAAAAATGTACTCGTCTCTCATGAAGATTAGAAATTAGGCGTTTATTTCTACACTGGATAAGAATTGGACTCAAATAAAAAATGCCTTTCAATTTGAAGGAGAAGTCACATTTTCGATTTTTTGATGCTAAGTGAATATTTCAAAGGAAAATATATCTTTCTGAAGGCCGAAATAAATTTACCGGGCTTATACAAAGTGACATTTAATTACTTGGAAACATGTATTTTTCTATTAATTTATTATTATATCACTTAATTTTTATTTTTCATCTATTATTTAATTTTTAACTTACATTATATATGTAAGAATTAACTATGTTAATTATCATGCATTGCTGAATATTGTACTAATTAATTCATTAATTGATGCTCGACAGAAAAGTTCTCAGACGGACGATGGCAGAGCGATGAAGGCGAGCCGTCATGGAACGACAGCATCAGTGATACGGGGTGGGTCATGATAAGTGGGTCATGATAAGTGGGTCATGATAAGTGGGTCATGATAAGTGGGTCATGATAAGTAGTTCATGATAAGTGGGCCATGATAAGTGGGTCATGATAAGTGGGTCATGATAAGTGGGTCATGATAAGTGGGTCATGATAAGTGGGTCATGATAAGTCGGTCAAGATAAGTGGGTCATGATAAGTGGGTCATGATACGGTGTGGGTTATAATATAGCAATATTATTGTCATTAATTAAAATTATCCTTTCCAACATAATTATTAATTTAAGCGCTCCCACTTTGCAATTTGTCTGAAATATTAATTCAACTAATTTAAATCTCAGAAAATTTAATGCGGATTAATAAATTTTTTCAGTTACCAGTGCATGTTTATCAAATTTTTGAAGTTAAATTTTCCATCAATAAAATTAGGAAGGAAAATGCATTTTTGTCCGCATTTAAATAGTGAAAATACTTATTATATCTTCTACATTTTTCTTAATATAATATTCGCGGAAAAGTTATTCAAATATTCTATTGAAATAAGTACTAAACAACTCGTTGAACCATAACAGAAAAGGTATCAAAATAATTTAGTACTGAACACAAATAAATATCCATGATAGGTTCCAAATTTGATAATGCAAAATTTCCCGTAAAAAAGGGAGCGTAAAGAATTACCCAAAGAAAATGTTGACGCAAGTTGTAGAGCGGAACAATGAATTATTTTAGAGCGTACATGCGAGCTAAATTTTTTTCTAGTGCGTGCAATAAAAAACATTCGGGGAAAGAAGCGAGTTTTTAGGTCTTTGAATTTTTGACAGTGAGCGGTACTTTTACCTGCTAAATATAAGGTCTTGTGGCGTCAGTTTAATATATGACTTTTTATACGAATTATTTTCATATGACTTTATTTCTCAAATCATGCTGTTTAAAAAATGAGTGATTTATTTCGTTTGTTATGAATATACACACTGTAGTATTTAATTTTTGTCAGAGAATGGATATTAATATTTGAATATAAGTGGTGGTTTCCAATTACAATTTTTTTCTTAAAAAGTGACTCGGATGCCAAATTATGAATTGTGTTTTAAATTTATGGGTTCATTTTTATCTGTTGAAAATTTTGAGGGGTAAAATTCCTAGCCCGAGTTTCGAATAATATTTGAAATTAATCCGTACGAAGAGTCGGAATGAAGTATGCACTGGATGCTAAGGATATCGATTTTGAATAGTGGTCCAGAATACACGAGTGTTGTTATGCATATATTTTGATTTGCGTTTTACATTGGGATTCAGTTTTACATTCATATGATACCCAATTAAATCAGGGATGCAATCACTTAATTTCTGTACATAATAATAACAAAATTCATGGGATATTTTCTAGGACACGAATGTCAAATTAAAAACAGGAATTCATTCAGTCAGCGTCAAATAGGGATTTTCTAGAACAAGTGATGTACAGTATATCCAAATAAATATACACTCAAAATTGATTTTTTACGAAAGGTAAGTATAACTATTAATAATTAGAAATGAAGTTAAGTATATTTATTTATATCTAGAGAATTAATTTAGTATATCTCTTCATATATACGAATAGTAATAACAGCATATATATTTACGTCTAATTTACATCTAAAAAACAACACAGTTCATATGATAATATTTAATACATGGAAGACTCTGTACCCTGACAGGTGTAGGCACGGCAGGCGGCAGCAGGCAGAGGCTGGCAGAGGCTGTCACTGCTACCCATGCTGGTCTGGCAGTGACTGCAACACATATGGTGAGTGGTGATGGTGAGTGGTGATGGTGAGTGGTGATGGTGAGTGGTGATGGTGAGTGGTGATGGTGAGTGGTGATGGTGAGTGGTGATGGTGAGTGCTGATGATGAGTGGTGATGGTGAATATAGAGCTAATTTCAAAAATCGTATAACATTTTAGAAAAAATTATTAGTTCTCAAATTCTTTCAATCACAATTTTCTAGGTAGAAATCCCATGTAGAATTAAAATTTCGTCCGAACTTTTGATCATGGAGAATAAAGATGAAACCTAATTTTCATATATGAACTGTTTCAATTATCCAGATTTGTGGCCTTCATTTTGGAAATAGTGAAATATTATGAATATATCATAATAATAAATAACATATTATATTTAATATAATTATATCATATATTGAAATAATAACGTTAGTTATGCGCTTGTTTTTTGACATAGCCTTCAAAATGATTATCATTGTGCAAATTCTTACGGAACTTTCGGCGTGATCGAGTAAAGCTAGCTGAAAATTATTTGAATTAGATATTTTTAAATTGAAAGAAAGTTCAGCAAATAAAATAATAATCAAAGAAATCTATTTTCCTTTGCAGTGGATCAAAATGATAAACAAGGTCCACTTTTCCTACGGGAACTCGAAATTTTGCAGTGGACAGAAACGATAAAATGATATTAGACTTTTATTGAAAACTTATTTTTTCTATCTGATTCGAATGATGAATATTTCATGTATTTTTCATAAGTTATGATTAAAATTACTTTATTTCTACCTTTTCTGCAGTTGACAACTATGCTCCGCGGTTCCTGGTGCACCGCGCCACGGCCGTAGTGCCTGTCAACGTCACAGGTGAGCTAAAAAAATTGCTTCTTAAATTTAAACACGTTTTGTATATTTAGAAGCTATTTAAATTTTGTTTTGTATGTGAATTACTATTAACTTTGGAATTATTTAACTTGATATCCCGCATCGCTATATCGATTTGGAATTGTTTAAAGTTTATGCGGAATCACTTAATTTTACGCTGTTACGGGGGAAAATTGCGTAAAAAATCCAAAATCAATCTCTGATAATATATAGTCGTTTTAAATTTAAAGACGTTCTATGGCCATATATGAATTTAATTGAAAATTAAATTTTTCTTGTGGAATCTATTAAAATTAAGATTGGGCGACCAGTATACAACTTATTTTCGTTCCGATGCGCTGCAATGAACGATGAGACGTCTGATTATATACTATATAATTAATACTAAAATACCACATTTAAATACCTTTTTAAATATATTCACATTGTTAATTCCTCAAGAGAAACACGTTGTTTTTATGATAACTTCAAGCACTCAAAAGTTACGATGTTGTTCTGTCTCCAACCTCGGAGGCAAAAACATCTGCCTATATACCGTCCGATGAGATTGCCTTTCTCCTGCACTCAGAGAAATAGGTGATACTTTGTCCAAATATTTATGCATTTTTTGCCCCTTGTACTTTTTGTCCCTGTCTGGATGCACTTGTCTTATACTCAGTACGCCCTGCCCCAGTTGGTCCCAGCATTAGGACATGCTGTCGCATCGGGTTGAGTGCGACAAAGTGTGTCACAATAGGGCCAATATGCCCCATTTATTTCTCCGAGTATAGCAGAAGAGATGGCCCGTTTGAGTCAAGGGACCGGAGATTATGTGACTGGCGTTTGAATTTCTCATGGTTTTCATTTCCCTGAAGCGTCGATAAAGAAGGTTTGTGTCGCTGCAAATGATAGCAATGCTGAGTTAGCTCTGTGCCTCTTAGCTCTGTGAGATCTCGAGATACGCGCTTGGAAAAATGCTCGTGATTATTAAACAGGAGATTAAAATGCTTCCTGCAATGGAAGGACTACACTGAATTAAAATAAATTAATGATAAAGTCTGGTGTTTATGAATTAAGAAAATGGTAATTCATTCCGAGATAAAATATGCCTTCCAGTAAACGAGCCTCATTGAATGAAATGTTTTAATCTCAAAGAAGGTTAATCATTTAGCGTTGAGGCGTAATTTTACATAGGCCTCCCTGAAAAAAAAGGAACAGGGGTGATCGTGAAGGTTATTTATACATTTCTTCATCAGCTTAAAACTTTTTTAGAAGGCAACCAGCCTTCGGTCGTCGGTCCATTCAATGGAATTTGTTTTGAATCTTTATAATGTTGAACTAAACTAAAGCATTCATTAAAATTAACAGAAAATACGTTAATAATAAGGCTGAAAATCAAAAACGAATGCCAAATAGTGAATTTTAAGTAAATGATAAAATACAAAATTTTATATTTTAGAAACAAAGTCTTGTTACCGACAAAATAACGCAAGACCAAACTGAATGGATTCTTTTCAGATGCAAGACAAGGATATAACCCCTATCAAAGTTTTAATACCTGTCAGCCAATACTCAGTGACACTATATACGTCTTAGGGGCGAATCGCTCGCTTGTAGGCCACCTAACTGCATTCAGCGACTATTCACGAGCCGATTGCGGGAGTCGATTGCCCGATAGGCCGAATATACGAAGTCGGACCGAGAAAAGCAGCTCGCCAGGCTTCTGCGGGCGGAAGCTGTTATTTGAGCGAACCATGACCATCTCCTGCTCGTCATATGGCGTCGATGTATGTACGTACAAGCGCACGTTTGTCAAGGCATATGATGGAACGAAATGAGAATTGATTGTACCAATTTTTTAAGTTTACGTGTTGTAAGATAATAATTTCATTCATTATGGAACAAAATATCTGGATTTATTTGGCTATCTTCAAAAACCTCAGGATGCTTGAAGGCATGGAAATATGATATGGGGTGCAAGAGTAGAAAAAGACTTGATAAGTAACTACGTGGCAGTAGAAAAGTAATGCTTGTAGCTCCATGAGATAAATTTCTTGTCATAACACACATAACTAATACGTAAGCTGATATTTGGCAGAAAAAGCAACAGATGAACTTTCGGTTATGCATTCAGGGTCTATAAGCATTTTATTAAATGGTCAGGTCGCTATGAGTTGTGATGAAACTGCATGATATTGTGATGACGGTCCATTGCCTGATAACGGGCATTAAACAAAGTACTTTCGGTTATTCAAACAAGGTCTAGAAAATTTCATATTTTCAGGTGAGATTCACAATTGTATCATATCGTGGTGCGGTTCAAATAATTCCTTCAGTGAATTATGATCGCTTATTCAATGTCGGTTACTGGGCACTGGGCGTTACTGGGCTTGACTCGTCCATAACGTACATAACTCTGCTCAGGCACCTCACTACTTTTTGAACGAACTAAAAAAAATTTTAGTCATTAGTTTAAACAACCTCTATGACAAAACCTGGTCAATGCTTTACGGTTCTTGTTCCTCATAGTTACCTTATCATGTTCGCAGGGCAAAATTTGTTGCTAGCCTCGTAAAATGTTTAAATATTATTCCTGTTTAACATGATGGCGATGCAGCTTGAGGGGGTGAGTAGTTTACACGACGTGACACGTTTGTTTGCGTTTGCCTTGCCGCTGCTGCCCGGCGTGCGGCGACCGGCGTTAGGTCGCTAGTTGTACTAGTGATGATCACACGCCGAACGGCGAACGTTGCACATTTCAATCCTGTAATAGTAGTGGGAAAAGTAAACTTGTGAAGTATTAGACTTGAAAATAATAGATTTTAAAAGCTGAACATTACTAGAAATGTATTCGTTTTCCTGTACAACGGTTCTGCAAGTGGAGTTAATTGAAAAACACCACACCGATACTGGCATTACGGGAGTATAGAGGCGCCATGATGCCGGCCTTCTACTTCGCTTAGAAGATTCCGGAACTGGCAGTAATGGAAATTTTTAACTCGAGGTATATGCTGACATGATCATGTTATTTTAGCTGCTCGTGTCCATATACCTCTGGTTTTAATTTCTAATTCATCGGAAAGCTGGATCCAATGATCCATGTGTGGAAATGCCAGTTCACTCAAGGTCAACTGCATGGTTAGGCTTAGTCTTCACCAGTCAAGCTGTCGCCATGTCGCTGCGAGAGAAACGCGTACAAACAAAGATAGAAATTCTATAGTCTCAACTCCAAAAGTTATTAAGTTGCTGGTTCATTGTAATTATATGCTTGTTTTCGTTGTATCGTTGGGTTTAGTACTAGAGTGAAATCAAAGTAATGTGAGTCAGGTGATTTTCGAAGAATTGCATATTATTAGAGCATAAATTTCTTTCCATTAAACATGGCAATGTTAGGCAGGTCACAAGTTCTTCCTGGAATTTCGACGATAGCATTTGATCTATTATTCTTCACAACCACTGTAGGAAGAATTTTAACGACTCTTTCAAATCAGTTCGATAGCCCAATTGGTACGGGTGAATGTGTTACTATGTTTCGCACATGCATAATGTGTGCTAATATTGAGCGGTGTTGAATAGTGGAGAATATTGATCGTTGAGTGCTATTGTATATTGGAGAATGCTGATCGTTGAGTGCTATTTCATATTGAAGAATGTTTGGTTTTGGGAAATGTGTGAGAATGCTGACTGCTGGTGAATATTGAAAATTATTTTGCTCGAGCAATGTGAGAGGGTCTTGCAATTCTGGAAAATATTGGAGAATGTTGTGGGTAATGTGGAAATTTGGGGTTGAAAGTTATATTGACTGATATTATTACCGTTTCAAACTCGTGTTTACTTGCCACTTGCTTCATTGTGCCGCGATGATACATGTCTAGTCTCCTCATATATATATATAGCGTACAAAGATTCAAATGCCCCCTCCCTTACCCCCATAAAGGGGGAAGGGAGGGGGCTTTTTTAACGCATTTTTCAGATTCGGCCTTGTCTGTCTCGAACGTATCAGGTACAAAATACGCGCGCCCCACGATCGCCCCAAGCTCGGCAGGTATTTCACAAGATTCTCTTTCGGCGCTTATTTCGCTCCGGCAACCGGAACCTAAAGCGGACATAGAGCCTCTGATTTATACCGTTGGGCGAGCTTGGGGCGCGCTTGAGCCAGCGGCTGACAGGCATCAAAATTTTGATAGGATGGTACACTCAAAAAATGGATGGGCCATTTTGTCTAAATATAGTGACACGCTTGCTGAGCGTAGCACTGGCGATACGTTCTTTTTTATAATATTTCAATAGATATTCCATTACAATCAAATATTATATAGAACTTAATACAGAAGAAACATTATTATTTCCCCAGGTTCGACATACCGGGCGTGGGCCTTAGACGACGACCTGGGCCTGACGTGCCCCCTGGGCCCAGGCGAGTCTGCCCGTTGCCCGTGCGCCTCCTTCACGTACCAGCTCTTCAGCCCGTCGGGGGACCACAGGTTTGCCCTGCACCCGTCAACGGGCCTGCTGGTCAGGAGAAGACCTGCCGCCACGACGGGGGACCTGCAGGAGGGGAAGACTTACAAGTACAAACTCATGGTCCAGAGTGAGTCTGGGATGTTATATAGTGATATATAATGTTGATAGTATAGTGAAAGTATGATATTGTACATGTAGGACTTGGAGGTAGGACTGGGACCAGCGAACTGAACGAGTGTAACGAGTATAAGATTAATATTAACACACAAATACAAACTCGAGGTCCAGATTGAGACAAGAAAGTTATTCGCTGGTATGGTGATATATAATTTCAATTACATAGTGAAAATATAATGTACTATTCAAGGTACTATTTGTAGATGTATCCTACATGTACTTGTAGGCATTGACCAAGACCATGTCAAACAGCGCACGAGGGCTAGACACATGTACAAACTCATTGAGCTGAGTGAGTGAAAAGTGAATTGGATGGTTAATATATAGGTATATATTACACATATTGATGGAAAACGTCCAGCGAGCTGGTGCAGAGCAAGGCCTACACGTACAAAGTCATGGTGCAAAATGAGTCTTAATAATGTAAATATATTTATAAATTTATTATTCTTTATATTTAATGAGCATATATTACACATGTAAATATGAAACGCTACTACTCCTACTCTTACCAACCAACCTTTATTGAGGTAGAGAAGGACCATCAGGAGCAATTTTTCGATGCTGAGAGAGTGATGAATGTCATATAGAGAAATATATTTTCATTGTTTTAGCGAATATATGTTATAAATTTAAAATGGGGACTGGAATTGAAATACGCTTGATAAATTAATTAATTATTTTTATATTTGAATTAAATATTAAATTTATGATGAGCGCGATGATCAGTCCTTTTTGTTATTTTGGGTGATTTCAGTTAAAATTTTCCAGATTCAGGTCCAATGATTCAGCCGTTATAACCTGTACGAAGTTATATTAAAAATTTCAGCTGATAATTTTGGCTGATGAGCTAGATGAAAATATAGTTAAATTCACTCATATTAAAACTTTCATTATCAACGACATATTATTTATGTTGTTAAGCTAAAAACAAATAAATTATTAAACTTTCCGGTAAATAATTAGATTGACGCAATAGATATGAACGCCAAAGGGAAGGTTATATCGCGACATTTCGCGGTTAATTTTTTTATATAAATTTAAAGGCGCAAAGGTCAGCGTATCTGAAGTTCTAAAGCGAAAATTCAAAAGTTTTAAAAATTTTTAAAGTTCTCATACATTTTTCTAAGTTAAGAAAAGTTTTTAAGCGAAACACAATTTTTTTACACACGTCCCTAATTAACATTAACATTACCATTAACATTAACATAAACAACAACATTGACATTGACATTAACATTAACATTAACATTAACATTAACATTAACATTGACATTAACATTAACATTAACATTAACATTAACATTAACATTAACATTAACATTAATTTCAACACCTGACCGTCAGGCAGCCAATAAATGTTAGCTAATTAATGCATCTAATTAACTACGTAAGCTCATTAACGAATCAATTAACGAGATTGTACTCGGTCTGACTGAGACAATTGCCAAATATTTCAGCAGTTATGTGAAATTTTTTTGAGTGAAGCCTAACATGAGAATTAAAAATAGATCAAATATTCTGTCAATTATTATATTTTGATATAAATTAAAATTAATGAAAATTAACATTTTGCAATATTATTGTTCGGAAAATATTCCAATTTATTCAAAGATTAAACACTAAATTAAATTTTGCCGCAAAACTTTTATATGAGAAATTGCACATTGATTACTATGATAACTATTATAATATTATTAAATCAATTATTATATATTTATGATCAACAACTTTATTATTATAGTAATTGAGAATATAAATACTTATCATCCAACCTTAATTGAAGTAAAAGGTTAAGAATGGCTTTTATTAATTGAGTTTGAGTTCCATCAATTAAAGGTCAAGCTTGAGTTACTTATATTAATGGCTAAGTTTAACTTCCCAAAAATTAAGGGTTAAGTTTAGCTTCCCCAAATTAAGGGTTAAGTTTACCTTCCCCAAATTAGGGTTAAGAATGCATTTTATTATATAATCGTTGAGGAAGAATTCCATTTACTAAAGCTCGCGAATAGCTTCCATTAATTGTTAAAAATTATATCCTTTAATTAAGGGTTCAGAAGGACTTGACTTTCATCAATTAAGGATTAAGAATAACTTCCATTACATAAGAACTATTAGTGACTTACATTAGTTGGGGGCTACACATTACCTACATAAATTAAGGGCTATTATCTGTTAAAAACGGGGTTTAAAGGTTAAAACAACGGTTTAAAGATTAAAAATTAATTTCCTAGTATATGAATGATTTTTATTAATCAAGGATTAAGATTTGCTTCCATCAATTGATAAATAGTGACAACTTCCATTATTTGAGGTTCAAAATTGAATTTCATATTCAATATATTTATATATTGAGTTCATATTACATATTATATTTTATATATTAAATATCATATATTATATATTATACATTATACATTATATATTATATATTGAACATTCCCCCCTCCCCAGGCGTGCTGGTGCCCGGGTACTCCAAGGAGCGCCTCTACGACATCCTCGACTTGGAGATTTTCGTCGGTCCTGCGAACCTCCAAAAAACTCCATGGATTTAACCATATAGGGACTCCATGAACTGAAGCTTAATTATTTATATATCTACGTATCACTCAAAATACCAAGTGGATCATATTATCCTAATAGTGACACTTTCTTACCCACATCACGAGCAGGGAGCGGGCGTAGCACAGATACGCACCTTTGTCGGGACAAACTGGGTCAGAATGACCCACACTAAAGGAAAAAATGCCTTGATTTTTTTGACAATGATTCACTCACTTCACTAGGTGAAGGGTAAAAAAAGGGTAAAATTTCAATTCGTTATTCAATAATATTAAAAAAAAATTCTGTAAAAAATCTCAAAATTCAATTTCTTTCAATTTCAAACAAATGATAAATGCATATCAAATAATTTGCATATCATAATTGTAATGAATTAATAATGAAAAAGTATATAATATTGTACGAATAGAAAACTATAATAACTTAGAGCCCCAGGGATTAGAACAAACAAACTCTATGTGCACTCTATATGTCTATTTAATTATAGATGTGATATAATCAGATTAGAATGTGTCTATTATAATGAATAATAATGTATATGATGGTTGGGACATTAGCTTAGCTCCAACACTCAGGCAAGCAAATGGTTCATTTGTCTAAATAAAGACTCATTTTAGGCCTCAATAAGAACTTTGGACGGACTTAAATGGGCAGGAAAACCCAGCCAGCCACGGGCAAAAAGTGCATAGTTTTGGATATTGTTACACTCATTTCAATGAGTGAAGGCTGCAAATTTCGAATTATACAGGGCTGTTTTTTTTATTAAAATTGATAGAGCGCTTTACTATATCTATTGTTATTGCACTATAAATATATGAAAAATATAGGAATATTACGAAGAATTACAGAAACCTTTCGTTAGTTCCAATTTGTATACGAAGCGGCAATGATACTGAAAAATTTATATTGAAAAATAATTGAGAACTTCTTATTAGAGATGAAAAATACTAATGCAGCGGTCCTTATATTAAAGAAAATTTCATCGTTCTTATTTTGAATTGAAAATATATATATTTTTTCCATTATATCGTGACTTTTCAGAAACGAATTCAAATCTGCTCTAAATTTTGGATTGCTGTATGACAATTCATTATGAATTCTATCTCACTAATTGATTTTAATTTTATTCAAGTAATGAATTTAAACCAAAATCGGCCATATGAAATAATGATTCAATTTATTTAAGAAAGGATTACAGTAATCGTAAGTAAATTAATTATGAAATAAGAAATGAAATGTCATAAATTATTTTAACGAGATTTTTTGTATGCCGTTCGTATTCTAAGAGCGCGTTCGCGAGTGAACGATGGTGAATATTGCTGTTGAATGTGACTGAATTATGAATTATTTATCTAGTTGATATCTGTAAAATTAGATTCTTAATGAGAATTGTGTAAGAACTGTAAAATTTTAACAGTATGAAATATTTATTAAGAAAACGGCAATAATGAATATCTGGATGCACGATAATTCCTGTGAATTCTAAGTTATGATTACAACATAAAATCATATAATGAATTATATGAATTTGCACGAACATTTAAAATTTACCCGTCCATTTGATTAACCTTCTGATACAGAGAAACACGATAAAAATTGCCAGAAGCTGTCACCGAGCACAACTAGCTTCAGTCTCCAATACAATATACAATATTCAATAATATATTTTAGTATACAACTCGATTGGATTTTGTTAAGTATTGGTATAGTTGTTAATTTTTTAATTAAACTACTCAGTTAATTGTATTGTATTATAATGAAGTTTCAAACTTGTTCAATATTTTACATTGTAATAGAATAATAATTGTCCATATTATCAGGAGTTCTGTACTATGATTTCACAGCCAGGAACATCGTCCCATTTCTGACCCATATAGCCCCGGATATGGCCCGCTGATCTGGTCTACAGACCAGCAGACTTCCAGCGCGTACACTCAGATGAATGAGTGGGTAATATTGTACAAATAGCGACCATGTATACCACTACAGGCCAGCAGACTTACAGCGCGTACACTCAGATGAATGAGTGGGTAATATTGTACAAATAGTGACCATGTATACCACAGCACGGGCATGAAGCAGGCGTATCACTGATACGTCGTTTGGTGAGACAAAGTGGGTAGGGATGACCCACACGAGGGCAACAGTGCGTCGATATTTGGACAATATTTCACTCATTTTTCTGGGTATGGGTTTTAGTGGCTGCTGTGCAATGAATATTAATTTTTTTATTATTTTGGTTAAATAATGAAATATTTTTCATGTCTCAAATTTGATTATTATTTTCCTGGGAATAACATATGTAATATATTATTTGAATAATTATTGTATCAATTCTTTATTATTGTTGTATAAATTCAGTGCAAAAAAAATATACACATTTTTTAAATAGTATTTTATTTATCTTAATCTATTTATTTATTTATTTTTTATCGAACTTCCGCTGAATATCTATGAATAACCTCTTGAAAAAATATATGTTATACATGTATGTACAATATAACTACTACATATCAAAATATATCGGATAGGATAAAAATTCAATGACAATCCAAATGTAAATGTAAAAATTAATGAGAAAGAATAAAACTTGCGATGATGTTTCACCATTTAACAATCCAAATCCCATTAGTCGAGAAAACCTTCATTATATAAAAATTTTAATTTTGCAACATGACTTCAACCAAGAGAAGGAGGGTGGGATGGGGTGAGGGTTGGATCCTTCTCGAAAGGATTAGATTGATCTCTATATTGATCGTTATTGATATTAACCATTATTAATCGTTATGATCGAGGGATAACATCGTAATAAAAAAACGTCGATGACGTTTTGGAACGTCGATTAAAAAATTGGGATGACGTCGTACTCAAAAATATATTGAAAGAAAATAACACTGCTATTAAAAGATGTACGACATTAAGTGATTATATTCATTTGTGAAATATCTTACACCTATATAAAATAACTACGGAATACTTACAAGGAGAATATTAGTTCTAGGTCTTTAAGGTAAAAGAGCCGACCCAGTTCTGATAAATGTGAAAACTTATGATAGTAATTAAAGTACTCGCATTATAGACTGTAGTACGAAATACTATAATGTACATGTGTACACTACAAGCCAAAATTCTACGAGAATGTGTATGTTCTCAAAATGTTTACGTGTGTGTGCCTAAAGTGCATTACTCAAGTGTCAACATTCATGTACATACCGGAAAATTAATGTGTTTATTAACGTTTAGGTTCAAATGTAGAAATTTTTATATTTCCATTATTTATTTAGAGGGTTGTCAGATGGCCTAAAAAACGGCCAATTTAGAGGACAAAAAGGCCAAAAAGTGATTAAAACTCAATATATACTAGTATATTTGTAGGTTCCGGGCTAAAAATTTCATACATATTTTCAGAATTTAATAAGGAAGTGCCACCAACATAAATTTTAGCCTGCCAACGCAACTGAGGAAAGCTAAACAGCTTAATTTTTCCGGAAAAAATACCATCTGAATTCACTTTTTATTTACACTGATGAATTCAGTGAGCAGAGTTTGAAAACCTTGTTTATTTACACTTAATTAAATTTTCAGCACTGATAAATTGAGTGAGCAGAGACCTGCTCGTGTGAGCGACCATTATGGCTGCGGCATGGAGGAATGCTGCTCACTAACGAGCAGAGGATATGGCGCCCTGCATCCTGCGTCAAAATCTGCGTCTTAAATCCTGCGTCGAAATCTGCGTCCTAGAACCGAGCGAGCCGCAAAGGCTGTCCTTTGAGAACCACCGAACTGCATTCCCGGAATGAGTCGTCATGTCTTTGATCCAGCAAAGCGAATCATACTGTCTTTCATTCGCCAAAGTGAGACATCATGTTTTTGAGTCACCAAAGTGAGACGCCTGGCTTTGCGTCGCCATGCTTTTGGGTCACCAAAGTGAGTCATGGTAAATTAGAGTGGCCCAAGTGATTCATCATGTTACTTAGTCGCCTTGACTTTGAGTCGCCAAAGTGGGTCACCATGACTCACTCATTTACTTGAGAGTCATGAAGAGAAGAGTGCTCAGTTCCGGGCCCCAGTTGGGCTTTCAAAGCCGCCATTGAGTGCATTGAGTGCCGAAGAAACGGCCTCATTAAGAGCTTAACGAGAACGGCCCCGCGTTGCCGCTCTCAAATCCTGCAATCGAACTCAGTATCGCTGCGATAAGTTCTTGATTTGTTATAAGCAGAAAATTAATGTTACTTCAATTGCAAAAATGGTGTAAAATTGTGAATAGTGACATTAAATCGTAAAATTGACATAAACTTGCATAATTAAAGCAGAATAGCAAAATTGACGTATATGTGCAGAATTAACGTAAAATTGAATAAAATTTGTAAAATAGCAAAAATTGAGGCAAAATTGTGAAAATTTACGTAAAATTGGGAGAATTTACATTCAATTGCACAATTGAAAAACTTCCATGGGTGACGTACGTAAATTGCAATGATGAGGTATTAGTCAAGAAAATTACGTAAACAAACAAAATAAGGTCAAAGTTGAGTATTTGAAATAAAATTAAAAAATCGACGTGAACTTTCGTTAGGAAATTTGTCATATGAAGTTTTAATTACTTTTTTCGCAGTTTCATCGATAAATTTGGAGGTAAGAAGGTATAAAGCGAGGAAAAATTTTAAATATGGGAATCTGATTAAAATGCAGCAAAGAAAAGAGTAGTAAAATTCGTTTAATCGAGTGAAAAAATTTTAACGAAGATACTGAAAAATGTATCCATTAAAATCATCGATCTATGAAAAATCAACGAGCTTCTAGAAAATAATTGATCAAACTGAACGAAATTCATACTTTTGTCTCAGTATCACACGTTTTTGCACTCAGTATCATATTCTCATACTGACTCCAACGAATTAAAATTATATTGTTTCAAACTTGAATCTGAATTCTCAAAAATATGAATAATAATAGTAATAATGAATAATAAATAAGAATTCCGTAGATGCGAATGCCTCATGCTTTGATCTCAAAACTTTGAAGGCAATTTCAGCAATAACAATCCTAAATAAAATTCTACCCTACTGGCATCAAAGAAATGTCAACGGCGCACGTTAGCTTTTATGTTGAAATTAAAAATAAAATGAAACTACAAAAGTTTCAAGTTCTTCCGAAATTTTTGTACGAATAAATGCAATATGAAAAAATTAATAGTCATATTGTCCAAATAAAAAAGATGACCCATTCCCCTACC